ACGTAACTAGCTTGAACTGAATTTAGAATTTTCGAAGTGGTTTGTGTAATATCCGGTAACATTTTTCACTTTCCACACTCATTTCAATTTTTAGAGATTAATAGTTCCATTACAAACTGTGAAGACGTATTAATTACGAAACTGGAATATATAACATATATATGAAATAATTATAAATGCATGTAAGTTACAAGAAAATAGTTTTTTGTGGTGCTCACTGTTTCCAAATTGTCCAAATTAGATCTTAAATTCAGTTTTTGCTGGAATAATTTTAAAAGTTTAATACTTATGCAACATATTACGACGGTGTTTTGGCGATTTTTTTATTTTGACATTAATAAACCTTAAAATACATGCATGTTTGAGGTCAAGGTGAGCTTAGCCTTAAAACACGTTGAATCTATTGATGTGAAATTTATAAAACAATATAAATTGACAACAATTTTGTTTTCAATTATTTGCTTCATCACAAAATCAGAATTATTATCTACTAGTAACCAAGTACAAATCCTGTTAAAAATTTACCAAACTATTTAAAGATTGATTTTTAGTGGGTTTATTATAGAAAATTATCACCACTTCTCCACTTCTAGCAACTTTATTTGCTTGTCTTTTTGCGGTCAGTCCCCAAACAGTGCTAAACAGTTCGATTCGGTGACCTAAAGCGAAGAGGGTAAAAGCCCCTTTTTCTCAAATTACCTGGATAGCCGTGAACTGATTAATGGCATCGTAAACTTCCTTGTCGCCCTTAGGAGTAATTAATAATTTCGACCTGAGCACGCAAATACGGACTTGTAAATGTTTATTTACATCTGTAATCCAATCGAAAGCATTTGCAATTTTAATAGTAATTTAGCGTTATTAAGGCGCCATAACAGACGATGCTATCAGTTCAAACAACGATTCAAAGAATGTAATAACATGGATGTGGGTTTTTTGAAGCTCGCTTATCTCTGTTTATTGTAAAAGTAAAAACCAATATGTACGGCACTCACGCTAACTTTAAACCTTTCTAAGTGCACGGCTTACACCGCTGTTACTTTAAAAACCTGTTTACATCACAGTAAACTCGTATTATGGCACTTTCTGCAGGAAATTTACCGCCTCGGAATGGAGTGCAGCTACTAAATTCGTCTTTCCGCCTCATGACGTGTAAAGAGTTAGACCCTCGAATCTGATTGCGGGGATTATCGACGGCGGGTTTTTCTACATTCTTCTCGTCGAGATTTTAATTCACGAGACCGATACAAATTCGATATGATCTGTCGACTGGTTTGTTTGTATTGTTCGATGTACGGTTTCCATTTGATATATTGGATCGCTTTTTACATCCCCATATGAACAACTCGGTCCGAAGAAGAGAGACGAAATTTCAATTTAACTATTTCCGTTCTTCCTTCTCTCTAGATACTATTCGAGTGACCCTCAGGAAGGTTAAAACTCAATAAATGGCACTGTTCGCACGCGTTGCAGACCCAGATGGACTTCTTCTGATGTTGCTTTGAGTCAAATAACAAACGGCCATGCTTGTTCCGAAGTACATATTCGATAGTGCGCTTTGCCACTCAGAAATATCGACACATATTGGAGAGAGCCAATGGGCAGCTACATAAAATGGTTTTTCAGGATATGTCGTCGAAACAAGTACGGAAGCAGTTATTTTAAAGTGAAATACGTTGGAACGCAGCTGGAGAATTTGTGGATTTGTACCAAGCAACAGCGCTTATCTCGATTCACTGAAAACTTTTTAGCTCTGGCTTATATTGATGCTCTGGTATTTGTCTGATTCACATCGAGAGTTTTATTGCGATTGTTTCTGAAGAGCATTCACCTGTGTTGAGTGTTTAAAAATTTAATATAAAATTTATTACAAGATGTATGGTTTACATAAAAAACTAGAATCAAATATTTTATTGTCTTGTAAAAGCTAAGTTGTTTTAGTATCAGAGAAAGTACAGATGTCAGTCTGAACTCCGCACAGAACTTAAAATAATACCAGAACCAATTTTCATTAATGTTTTGGCTGATATAATTTTTGAGGACAATTAAGTTTGTTTATTTGGTAGTATGTGGAAGAAATTTATGCAATTTTGTCGTTAGTTGGAATATTGCAATAGAGTCCATACGGATACTTTCAGGTTTTCTCGACATATATGACCCCTAGAATGTGAAAAAAAGGTCTCCCATTTCCGTCCGTCTGTCTGTCTGTCTGTCTGTCTATACGGGGCCGATTATTGTCAAATCTATCGTGTATATGGTGAAATGCTATCTTTAAAATTTGTCTAATCATGTAATCCGCATAATAGTTTACATCTTTTTAAAATTTTGGGGAAATTTTTTAGAACACAATTTTAAAAATAAATACCTATCTCAATTCACCACTGTTTTCAGCTCGCAAAGCTTAATACATTCACGAGGAACTCATTTTCAACAAAAAAAGTCGACAATGTTTTTCAAGTATAGAGTTCTGTAAACTGAAACCAGTGGTGAAAACTGTGTTACAAAATATCCATTATTGAGATATTGCTTTTTAAAGATACGTGATGAAAAATTTCACCAAAATGCAAAAAAAGACGATGACCATAAAGTGTAAAAATTACGTTAGGAATGGACAGGTTATCTTTAAAATTTCATTACAATAAGGGCAAGTTTATAGAATATTTTAACTGAGATTAAGTTAATCATGTATTTAGCCATGTCTTGAATTCTCCCGCGTGGGTTCGAATACCCTTCTCGTCGACATTTTTTTATTACACTGTGATAGTATTATCTACATATTTTAACTTATAAAGGTTATCATAAACTAAATACAATTTCGTAAAATCAAATTTTGTTCTGTATAAGTAACCGTAGATAATTTTTTTTTTGAGAAATATTCACATTATTATTGTTAACATTTTGCGGAAGCTAACGACAGTGAATTTTCGTCCTTAGAAATGTTTTTTTACTTCCTGAGCGGAAGCTAGTAAGTATTATATTAGGGTTCATCTGGCGAATAGGTATTTCCATGTTTGTCGATTTTTATTAGGTAGATAATTTTATTTATTTTTAAAATATTTTTATTTATATATTTAAGTCTACATTTTAATTTATAAACACTGAATATTTACCTACTATTTTTTTTTTATTTAAAATTCCTGGGACGAATTAATTATGAAAGTTTAAGATTTAAGTTTCTCGAAAAAATCGTTAAACGAAAATACACTAACAAAAAATTGGTCGAAAGTTATTTCGACAGAACTTCCCTCGCTTCTGGTTTCACTTTCTTTAATAAATTTACTGGTTCCCTATTTTTTTTTGGTCACACTGTATAAGCAAATCTAAAAAATATGAATGCAATGATAAGTTACAAGTATAGTCCGATCATATTTTGTAGATTTTCGAAAGAATTTATTCGGCAAAATCTTGAGATGACGTAATCAAATTTATGGGGTTGATTAACACATACATTTTGATTAAAAACTTAACACACTTACAATAACTTCACAACTTCAAGATTTTAAAGTACATATTCAGTTTTGCAATTCTTGATTTAATCAATAAAATAAATTGACTCAGTCATTAATTTTTTTCAGACACCCCCTATAAGTAAATCTGAAAAATATTAATGCAGAGTTAGATCACAAGTAAACACTCATCATACTTTTTTCAACAAATTCGATTATGTAGTTCCTGATTAAATCAATAAAATAAATGTAGGCATTCATGAATTTTTTTGAGTCACCCTTATATGCAAATCCAAAAAATATGAATGGAGTGATAAATCACAAGTACAGACTCATCATATTTTGTACATTTTAGATAGGATTTATTCGGTAAACTTTTGGCTGAAGTCATCAATTTTTTGGAGGGGATAAGTAAATATACTTTGATTAAAAATATATCATTCTTATCATAACTGTAAACCATCTGCAAGATTTCAAAGCATTGGGTTTTGTAGATTCCAAATTAAATTGCAAAATTTTGTTTTTTTTTTGTCCAAAAATCTGGACATTTCGGGTAAAAATTCAATTCAGAGTCATAAACTACATGTAGAGGACTATGTTATCACATTAGTGGTGGGGATGATTAGATAAATTTTGGTTAGCTACATGATATTCCTAATATAATCAAAATTTGACAACAATCGGTCCAGTAGCTTCGGAGATTATCTGTCTAATAAAAATCCGGGACGGCAGACAGACAGACAGACAGACAGACGGACAGACAGACAGACAGACGGACAGACAGACGGACAGACAGACGGACAGACAGACAGACGGACAGACAGACGGACAGACGGATAGACGGACAGACAGACAGACAGACAGACAGACAGACAGATAGAGAGACGGACAGACGGACGGACGGACAGAGAGACGGAAACGAGAGACCTATTTCTTCGTTCTCTAGGGGTCATGAAATGTCGAGTAAATGTAAAAATAGAGAATCGGCCGACGGACTTAATGTGACTCGATCTTGAAATGTGTGGCAATTAGTAACTTTTATGAAATAGAAATATATCTGTGTCCTTGTTATGCTCCGTCTTTTCGACAGCAGGTATTTTTGCTTCCAGTATGGCGATCCTGTTACTGTCATTTGGCCGTCAATTGCCTTGGTGGTAACACGTCTTCCACGACTGTTTGCTGGTTACCGGTGACACTTTCTCGTTGAATAGGGCTGGAGTTACTTTGTGACTGGAATAATGTTCTTTCCGGTCCGTTAACTCAATAATTCTAGTACAGTCTGTCGTAACCTCAAATCGTAAACACATCAAACTTTCGTTGACAGATAGCGAAAATTACTAGCCTCGCGCTATCTTTGTTTAACACATAGGTTAGGTTCCTCTCTGTCGAATTCCGACCACAGGCAGTTTGCCGTACTTTCTAAAAGTAATAGTAGATCTAGTGACTTTAGACGGACTCGATTACAATACTTCCTTTGCTTACGCTCGGGAAGTAAAAGCATATAATATAAAATTAATTTTTCGGCTTGTGGTGAAAGTCTTTTATTATTTATAGAAACGTCTATTCAACAGGCCTGCATTTGGGGTATTTCCTGGAGAAGATCGGCCCAGAAGACTTTAAAACATTCTCAATGAGGTAAGAGTTAAATACATAATTTGGAAAAATCAGTCTTATCTTAGCAAGTACGAACCCCGCCCATCCACCGTTTATTTTCTTTGAGAGTAGGTCCTTTGCCAAAGTCAGTCTTATCTTGGCAAGTACTAGCCCCGCCCACCCGCCCCCTATTTTCTCAGAGAGTATCTCACTTGGCAAAATCAGTCTTATCTTAGCAAGTACTATTCCCGTCCACTCGCCGTTTATATTCTTAGAGGCTATGCCCTTTGGCAAAATCGGTCTTATCTTAGCAATTACGAACCCCGCCCACCCACTGTTTATTTTCTTAGAGAGTAGGTCCTTTGCCAAAGTCAGTCTTATCCTGGCAAGTACTAGCCCCGCCCACCCGCCCTTTATTTGCTTTATTTAATCTCCAAAACTACAACATCGATTGTTGTCAAAGTTTAGATGTTTGTTAAGAATATATAAATTATAAATAAGATGGTAAAAAATTGTCTAATCATCTTCACGAACAATATGATAACGAACATTTTAAAAATTTGCTTAGTACATGTCATATAAATTTATTAAAAGAACATGCCACTGTACTTATGGTTTATGAATTTGCCTTGATTTTGTTGATTATTATTAAAATTTTTATAATTCTATATTTCTCGTAGTAAAACTGGTATTTGAATACGTAATTGAATACGTTTTAGCTAATTTTTTTATTTGTTTATACTGTGAGTGGTTTACTTGTCTTGTACCAGTCCACACGAGTCTCTATTTTAAATTATAAGAGTTTTTTTTATTTTTTTATTTTTTCGAAGAACTTGAACTTGTTGGACTGTACTTCAGTGGCTGTAAATAACTTTGGATGATTTTTTTTGTATTAAGAAAATTTCATTTGTTATTTAATTACAAAATGCGAAGAAATATTTTTCATTCAAAAAATTAGGAATTTATGAAATAAGCAGAAGCAATCGTAAATTGTGACCGTCGGCCGTCTCCGCTTCCTGTTATGCGTTTATGGTTTAAGTTATTTAGCTTACCTTGATTTATGGTAATTATAATTAATTTTAGAATCTTGACACAAAATTTTGAATTTTATTCCGAAATCGACACAAAATAAGTTTAACAATTATGTAAGGATTAATAAAATATGTATGTAGCCGCATTTATATTTTAAATAAGATTTGCTAAAAAACGTTTAAGGTGACGTCATCAAAACTTGGCTAGGGTTCAGTACACAAATCGATGATATGTGTACTAAATTTCAGAGCAATGGTTGAGTAGTTTCTACGATAAATTGTAAAATGTCACATATTTTACAAAGTTTAGACAGGGTTTGTCTAATAAAATTTTGAGATGGTGAGGGATAAAACAAATACATTTTTTTTGTACAATTTTTGATTTTTTTTTTTCAAAAAACTAGGTGTGTAAAAGAAAAAATAAGGACACATTAATAAAATATATTATTGTATACAATTCTGATATGACTTAATGAAAATGTCGGTAAGAATGAAGCCAAATTTGGGTATCGTTTAATCAGCTACATGGTGGCATTAAAGTGGACTCCATATCAATAAACCCAATAATTTCGGAGATTTTGTGTCTAATAAAATCGCCAACAGACAAACAAACGGAAACCGTACAACGCGGAGAAAATATGAATTTAGCCACTCGTTAAGACTTAATGTGGTAAACAATATTACTCTTTACTTACTAACTTGTATTTAATCAAAAATACAGTTGATCTTAAAATTTTGTGGTATAGTGCACAGTGAGCGCTTGATAAACTAATCAAACAACTTGAAAAACCTAATAACGCATGGTCTAACAAGTGAATTTAAACTTGGCAAACTTTTAAAATTATTGATACTCAAGAAATTTATATTGTTTCAAACTTTTTTAAGCCCACGTATGGCAAAAGTGCATTACTTGTAGTACGTTTTGTCAACAAAGAAAACTTCCACTGCAGTTTTTCCCTGTTTGTAACTACTTGTTAGTTTAAGAAAGACTGCTTCAGCGACGAAATATCATTTTAGCACGTAAGTTTCGTCATTCAACGACAAGTCCATAATAAAATCTGCATTTCAAAAAGCCCTTTATTACTCGATGTTTTATATTCAACGTCATCGGAAAAGAAGGTAATAATGCCTTGAACACAGAAAATAAACTCCACCTTTTCCTACTTCACTCGACGTCCCATTCCCTAGGGAAATGCACAACACAGCAGCAAAAAATCTGCCACGATTAATTTAAGATGACTGTAATTATTCATAACTAAATAACTCGGTTAGGGTCGGAAGTGTAAAAAGTTTGAATATGTAAAGAGGGAACGGCAATTGCTCGAGACAATCCATTAGTTTCAAGTCAGAACCCTAATTTTTTACTGACAACTTGTATATTTGAGTTGGGACATGAAATTTTTTGCAATTTAGGTGAAAGCTCCACTTTTAAAGTGCACAGAATAAAGAAAACTTTGTTTGATAAATCTTCCCAGGATTGTCAGCTATCCCGGCTGAAGGATCAATATAAGGAATGATTTAGGTCGAAGGTCGTAGGCAGTGAATGCGTGTATAAGATTTTTTATTCGTTCGTGAAAATATGGCTCTGTTTCCTTCAAATCACAAGAGTCCTTACTACAAAAACGATTATTATCGTTATGGTTAATTAAACGACTGTAATTATGGTACAGTATTAATTAGGCAAGAATATTGTCGAGATTTGACTCGAGTGTTGATGAAAGTCCCATCGATATTAACATTATGTTACGGGGTGTTTATGAGAATAATTAACAAAGGCTAAACTGTCATTACTGTGGCAGTGTTGCTATTCAAAATGTTGTCCCAACTAGTTTACGGCTGTTAAATTCTATCACTATTATTAAAACAAACTAGGTATGACATTTCTGATAGAGCGAGCATGACCCCACGCCCATAAATAGGGCCTAAATCCTTTCGTCCACATGGCCAGTTCGCATCAGTCGCAATAGATGGCCGACTTCTTGGGTCATAGGTCGAGTATTGGCAATCAGGGCACCCTGCGAGTCCGTTCTTCATCCCGGTCTCGTATCCAATCTGTTTAGTTCGCTTCATTGAATGTTATGCGCCATTGGTTCGGTTGGCGAGGTAATTTTTTAGTTTTCTTATTATCTGAGAAAGGGCATTTGTGGCATCTTCTCGCACACATCCATCCTCGAGTCACCTCGACAGAGCGAGAACCCAAAAATTACGCGGCTCATAGTTTATATTCAGCCGAAAAAATGTATAACGAACGAGACGGATCCGAGAGAGAATTCCTAATGTTACCCACATCACGAGTTGTCGAAGTCTCGGGGAGCCGCTGAAGATGTCCTAGAACGGAGGGAGAGAAAGACGAACCAATAATTGGACTCCACTTCGCTCCTTGAATACGAATCGAAAGCTGACAGACTCGCAGATGAGACCCGAGAATTGTCCGGACTAAAATACAACACGCCACCGACTTCTTTTTCCATTTACGCTCTATTTTTGTTTGCGGAATCGGGGTAATTGGACTCCGGGATGAATATGCATAAAGTTTATAATTGACGAACCCGGAGGAAAGAGCGGATTGATATTATTTTTTGATTAGCTAACCGCTGCTACAATTTGTACGTAGATATGTCAGTTATTAACACTTACAATATTAAAGATTGCTTTTACGTTCTTTTTGTTGATACAGGATTTAGAAGGAGACAAAAAATTATCTAAAGACTGTATTTATTTGTTTCGTCCTTTGAAGCCTGACCACGTGGTGCACTTTTTTCACCAAAAATTTCAGGTCAATTCAAAATTGCGCTTGTAATTAATAATAATAATCAAAACACATTTGTGTATTCCACAAAAATGAGACTTATGAGTAAAAAACCCGAAGAGGCATTAATTAAATCGTGTAGGGTAAATGTGTACAAGAGTGCGAATATGTATAAGAGTACGCACTGATGATTTCTGCTTATTAGTGCCATCTGGGTAAGATGAAGTTATACCATTCAGAATTTAATGCTAAACCTGAGATAAAGGTGCAAAAGTGACCTGAATATATGTAGTTTATAGTTTGGTCGTACTGACGATTTTATGTTCACACGTTGTGTGGATGTAATTTTTACCGCTCATAGTTTTAGTTTTTTGTAAGGTACGTACCAGTTCTTTTATTTTACAGTAATAATTTTCATTAGCTGTAACTTTTAAGGTCTCGTTATACACTAACAGTTTTATACTTTCTATCCATCAAAAGCTTTCAACTTTGAAAACATTAGGTTATGTACAAATGTACAAGAGTGCGCAGCGAGGTATTGTATAAGAGTGCGCATTGCTTGCAATACGTAGTCTAATAGTCTTGGAGATACATATCATACGATAATGAATTATTTAACTCTACTACTTTGTACTGCTTCTCAAGTTGTGTGGTGGTGGTTATGGTGATTTTTTTTTTATTTCTACTTCCTGAGCGTGTTGTAATCGAGTCCGTCGACCGACTCTCTATTTTTACGTTTTCTCGACTTTTCAAGACCCTTAGAGTACGAAGAAATAGGTCTCCCGTTTTATGTGTAGTCTGTAGTCGCTTATTCCCATTTATTTTCACCTTAGAAACAAATATTTTTTCATAAAATATAATGCGCACTCATAAGCGTTCAAATGCGCACTCTTGTGCAATGAACTGTCTAAGAGTGCGCATTTACACATCTTGACAAAAATTGAAATTACTCTTAAAATATAGTGGTCTTGGGACGTACAATTAAATATATCTGATGTCTAAACATGTATATAACGAACCCATATCATAAAATTTGTCTATCAAAAAAAATTAAAAAGTTGTTGACGGTTTTACACTAGGTGCGTACTCTTGTACACATTTACCCTAACAATATACAGGGTGAGTCATTAAGCGCGCGGTCCTCAATATGTCATCTCGCAAAATTTAATTTATTAAGACAGATTTATTGGGAAAAAAGGAAAAACTAAAATTTAAGAAATGCACTTTTATCCATTTATTAAAAATCTTTGCGAAATCGTTGT